CATCTGAATAAAAATGAAAAAACAGAAGCATAATTCAACGAAACTATTCCCCGGAATAGCTGCGAGAAAACCTCAACTCCTCAACAATAGCTGGGCAAAGCTCCTTAGTGAGCAAACATCCGGTAACGATGAGAAAAACAGTGACACGAAAAACACTGGATTAAATGTAAGCTGTGAACGTCTTTTCCTCAAAGTAAAAGAAACAAAAAAAACTGTTCGAACACCTTTTCTGGGGAAATTGGAGAACTGTGTTGAAAGAAGCGAAGAGAGAAACGTAGAAAAACTGAGTGAATTGCGACTGGACAAGAAAAAAATTGGTAGAAGGTTCTTACATAACGATGAAGACGAGTCAAGCGCTGAGATAAGGTCAAGTGATGGAATTTTGTCGGCGGAGGAAACTTCAAGAGCAGCCTTCGTTGAAAACAAAAGAGACGAAGAAGATCACTTGCCGCCTCTTGGGGATTGCAAGTCACTAGCAAAGACAAAAAGGGAAAAATTTGACTTTCCAAAGTCGACAAAAAGTCAAAGAGGTGGATTTTCTAGCGGAAAGTCTCAATTTATTGACTGGCAAAAAATCTTTGTCAACGGAGGATTTCGACCATACGAGTCACGTGATTTACCGACACGCGGAGAGATAAACTTGTTAAAATACAAAACGTGGAACGCGGATGAACCCATAAACTGCGTCACGAAGTGTGCCAAATATTTTGGCCTCGACTGTGACAACATGCACAGTGACGCTGAAAAGTTAGTGAAAAAGGAACCACAAAAACTATACAGCAGCCCGTCTCCAACTTATAAATTCTTCCCTTTCCAAGCTTCAAAACTCAAGAGAGGCTTTGCACCCGAGGAAAGAAGTTTGGAGTCACCGTCTTTAAGAAATCAGTCAAAGGCATATAATTTATGCAACTCGTGTATTGTTCCCCCAGCGACACCCGTGTTATCGATGATCAGATATTCTCCAATTCGATGGAGTCCTTTACAATATGTGGAAAGAGGAAACACTCTTGAAGAATTGGCTGAGTTGTCGACTGAAGGACAAACAACGGATGAGGGAATTCATTCACCGAATGAGAGCGAACTGGAATTGCAAGGAATAAGCTAGCAGACCCTCTAAACTAAGAACAACTTTTCCGATCTCATCAGAGGATCTCTCATTAGACTCATTAGGGTGGGTTTTTCTAAGCTATTTCCTAACCACAAACTAGCGAGCAGTACAAAAACCCCAAAAGCTCAAACAGCTTAAAAACGCCGATTTTGTCATACTTTAAGCTTTGCGCATATCCAGTTAAAGATGCACTTTAGAACTCTAGAGAGCATTCAAGAAGCTCAGCAGAGTAGCCTTCACCTACCCATCAAGCAACTCTTCTCGTGCTTTCCAAGTACCCCGCCCGCCTGCACTTATAACGCGATATACGCACACTAAGCCGTACGGAACCAAGTATTAATTCAGCTCGGTGATTTGTGGATATTTCGCTTTGCGATTGGTTAGTAAATTTCGCGCCACATTTAAAACCAACCAAGTCTTTAATAATTAGGGAAAGTTCATTTAATATTGCAAGGGAGGAGGGGCGGAATAACGATATTGACGGGGGTGCTCCTCAATTTTTTATAATCCAGACGGACGGACCACGTAAAAACTTTTGCACACGACGGTGGAGACACACCAATTGACAACACTCAAATCCACGACAAGCAATTATCACCCGCNAATTAGAAATGCTCAAACTTTTTATAATAAAACCACATTGATTCAACAAGATCTCAAAATCTGCTAACGGGAACTATAAAAACGATGACTCTGTAACAAGAAATGTTAAGAAATGAAGGAGGAGGGGGGGGGGCTCTGAAATTTTTTCGACTACCAAGGAGGGGGCTCCTAAAAAATTGAACCGCTAGCGAGGGGGGCTGCTAAAATTTCAAGCTTCGAGTTTCAATATCTTCATCCCCCCCCCCTTGTCATATTAAATGAACTTTCCCTTAAGTTCGGTTATCCCTGGATATATCCCTTTTCGATCTGTTAATTCCCGCGCTTCTAGCCCACTACTTGTAAACTGATTAAGATAAAAAAGACAAATAAATTGCTTTCGGGGAAAGTAAGCGATGGTCGGACGAGTATGATTTGCGGCCCAACCAAATGGGCTGCGCAGAGTTAAACATTTTTTTTTTCTCATTTGAAATTATCGGCAGTAAAAAATGTTTTATTGCCGCTTGCTTTGCTTTACAAATTTACAGGTCAAGAGTCTTAGGAAGGAATAGTTTCATGAAATCCTAAGACGTTCGATAAAATGAGCGCGCAGAAGCAAACGTTCTATTTTGCCTTTATGACGCGGATTTTTTTTCCCATATCATCCGCCATCCTGCGAGGCGAAACGAGTACATTCGTGTCACGTTTAGAGTCTTTAGAGAAGAGACAAAGGGAAAAAGTTTCTAATCTGCCGCGCTATTTTGAGTTTCTTACGTTGTTAGCAACTTCGCCTGCTTTCGGGAAATGAATGAATGAACAACTTTTGCAACGTAGAAGGTAAGAATTGCTTAAAATTTAAATTACTTTGTTTTTCTCATGGCGTAACCTGATGGCCAAGATTGAAAAGTCGTCACGGAGTCGTCATTTTCTTGTCAAACAATGGAAATGCTCGATGTAACAATTTACAATTCAATTATAAATCTTATTGGGGCGGATGTATTCGCAAAAGTATTGGCTTGGAATATTCTTCCTACATTTTTAATAGGAGCTCGTAGGCTCTGGCTGAACAGTATGTTTAGTTTTGGTTGCTATGGTCTCTGACTCAACCGACGATTTTGCGCGCGCAGCCAAAAAAAGGCAATTTCATTCATACGTCATATAATTTTAGAGTTAGTGTCAGCTGCCTTTATTTCCTGGTATACATATTTCCGTTCTTTCTTGGTCTAAATGATTAATCTAGCAATCTATTTCTTGTCTTTTTTTAAAATTAAAGGAAGGCTTGGTATATTGCTCACTTGACGGGGTTGTACCACTCTACTGTTTCGAGTTTAGCTGCATCTATGCTCTTTCAGCATTCCTTGTCACACCCATCCTCATAATACTAAAACACATTTTTATGTCCAAATTACCATGTTGGGTCCTGCTCGTACGTGGGCGTACGTGAGTTTTGATGACATCAACAGGAAAAAGAGGAACTTTCAACTCTCACATAATCAGAGCGCTATGCCTTCCTCTTACAAGGAAGTTATAAATAGAAGCTTTCTTCCGATGATAGTTGACAGGAGTCTTTTAAAACTGATTTCGCCAATAAAAGGACAAGGGGACAGGCAGTGTTTGGGTCAATTTAACATGAATATAGATCCGAGTGAGATTGACAGGCTTTTAGGGTTGCTGTACTCTTGGAGAATGCTCGGAGCATGCAAGTATATATATATATTATTTGGTGTTTAATAAAGCCACGAGAAGTCTTAAACAGTGAGCGAATTTTTTGCGCGATCAAATTAAGGATCTGTGACTTTCTTGATGTTCGAGTTTTAACTGCTTTACTCTCTTCCTTAATACACGTATGCATTGTGACTTTGCTTCCTTCTTTACCAATTAAACCAGTTTTCCAGTAGGTAAACATGTTTTGGCGTCAGCAATCCTCACTTTCTCAAATACCGCCTTTTTGAAAATATCGAATCCTCGTCTTCCACCTGCTGTGGTTTTTTTTATTTCTATCTAATGGGTAATTTTACTATTGTTATACTGGTAAGTGGAAATATTGGCACTGTTTCTGGGCCATTTTCTGTCCATGAGGTTGTTCATAAAGTGGATCTTATTCTAATGTATTTTCAAAATATTCAACATTTAACTTTATGCTCTATGCGAAATTCTGGAAGATGATTGGTTGATTGGACTGTGTAAGTGGCCTACGCTTTCATGCGCTAATGACTTCTTTGCATGCCACTCAGCGAACAATATTAGAACCCTCAGCCTAACTTACAATTGTATTATCTCTCCGTTGGAAGCTTATTCCTATTTGTTTACGTTGCATTTTTGGACCCAAAATACGTCTTAAGCTTTTTGCCGTTGTTTCCGTTTTATTTAGAAATAGTCGCTTTTGAGCTGATTTTAGAGCAATCAGTTGATTGCGAGACGGTTTACACACAGACTTCGTTTGCGATTTAGCTTCGTTCATAAACGCTCTTGTTGCTTGCTCTTCCTACCCCGTTAGGCTACGTGGACCGATATCTCGGTCGACATTACCCACAGTAAACAAGATCCAAATAGATAAATCTCTGCTCGGATATCATAGCCTAGAATAGTTTATGCAGTATTGTAATAATAATAATAATAATAATAAAATAACACAATGAAAACTGTTTGCTGTCGCCATAAAATGAAGTTTTAAATCAGGACCGCGTTTAAGTGCTATGTTGGATAAGTTTTCGTTTCGTGATGGTTCTCTGGGTCCCTCGTGAAACTAGTAAATGGAGCTCTTCAAAAGTCACATTAAATTAGACGATTGTTTCGCAATATATAAAAATGGGTGATTTAATATTTTTGCATATCACAGGTTTTACTTTAATAATGTGCTGAGACCCCACTGCTACAAAACAATACAAGTGTAACACTTAGTTTTCCAATAATGTCACTGATCACTGCGGGTTTCTGGGGTTACCTGAAATCTGGTCAAACCTTTTTTTTTTAACGGAGTTTTTGTGGGAGAAAGATTGTCTGTTTACAATGCCAGATATTGAAATTAAATTACGTCAATTTTTTTCCTTAAAAAAATTAAAAGGACTTTCTCTATACAAATATTTGCTGAAATTTAAATGATTTCTCGTAAACCCTATCGAAACTAAGACTTGCATGAATATATTATGTTCATAAATTATGAAATGATATAAAAGACACAAGAAGCCCTAACACTGGAGGGACAAAACAAGCTGAAACAATTTGCTGTTTTGTTTAATTCAAGTGCCTTTCCTCTTACAATAGTCTACCACCTGATAAGATCCAACACGCAGCAAAGCTAAATTCAAGTATCATGGAACAAAATCGAAGCGTCCTAAACTGGATGAACCAAAAGGACTTAGTTGTTAACATTTCTAGCGGTGAAAACTCTACTCTAGTATCTTTCCATTCAAGCGACTTGTCCATAGAAAAAGTCTTCAAAACCCTGGCTTACAGCATGGTTGTGGTCTTTTCTGTGATCGGTAATTCTCTGACTATCGCTGCGTTTAAGCTCAATACCTACGGCAAACTTCGCACTGTCAACAACGTGTTTATTGTCAGTATGGCTGCCGCGGACCTACTTATAACATTAGGGAGCATCCCCGAAAGGATCACGAGAATATTGGTTAGTGAACAGTGGATTATTCAAGGAAACGCTGGGATATTTTTCTGCAAAATGACCAACTATGTTGAGAAGCTTTGCATGAACGTGGCCATTCTTCATCTTGCAATGATTGCTACAGATCGTTTTCTTGTGGTGTTTTATCCTCGCAGAAAACTTATCACAAGCCAAAGAGCTCTTCGAATGATTATCATCACTTGGTTTGCGTCAGCTGGTTACTGTGTACCCTTGTTTTACTACGCCAACCTATTGGAGAAAAACGAGAAACTCTTTTGCAAAACGCGAACCTTTTTCCACAACTGGCGGGTTTGGTATCTGCTTTTCCTGTCATTACTTGTTTTAACCCTGCTTGTGGTGGTGGTGTTATATGCCGCAATTGCCATCCGACTTTACAGGCGAAAAACACCCGGTGTACGCCTGTCCTTCAGAAGTCGCAGAGGTGCAAGATTAAACAAACGTGTTCTCAAAATGGTCGCTTTGATCGTATTTACATTTTACTGCTGTTTTCTACCATATTGGATCGGCTGGGTGTTTTGTTCTTATTACTACAACGACACTATCTGCAGTGACACATACGTGTTTGTGGCCATCTTCCTCATTTATGGGAACAGCGCGGTAAATCCAATTATTTACTCGAGCCTCAATCACAATTTTCGCGACTCATTTAGGTTTATTTTCAAAAAGCTTTTTAAATGCTGTTTGCCCCGTAGAGAAACGATATTTCTCAGTACCGAATGCCACGAAAAATACATCGCTAGAAAAGGTTCAGTACAGTGTCTGGATGGGAATGGAATCGCAATTCAAGGTAAGACCATCAAGCAAATGGGGTCGTGGATATATCAACAGGGGGCACAAGTTAGTGCCCAAGAAAGCACCTTCACACTAACTTGGTAGCAGAATAAAGCGCCGCCAGGAGGGACATGGAATCAGGACTTACAGGGAGCTTATAAAGTAACGACGACGGCGACGGCGACAGCAACGAGAACGGCAAAAAGCACGGTTAAGATAGGCAAAACAACAACTATGCACTTTCACCCTTTTTTGTACATTTCATTGCCGTCACTGCCGGACCACAAGGTGAAGCTTCTTAATTTCACGTTTTTTGGAGGACTTGAACACAAGGCAGCGACTTCCTTTTTCTTTTCCTGAACTTCGAAAAAGTGCTTAATAATTGAACCGCAGAAAAAATTTGCCAACATTTGACGAGTTGAACGAGATGGAATAAGAGTGATAAAGTTTGAAGCAGCGCGGATTCACTTTCCAAGTGACGTTTTCGTAGCCGTCCGCCGTCAGTGTCGTTGTTGCTTATGATAAGCTCTCTTGCACTGGACAGCACCCTGCTAGCTATTCGGATAAGTGCAAAGCGTCTGGCTATCGGAAAAAACGTTCGTTGTAACGGGTGAATCTCAGTTCGTTATAACAGGTGTTCCGGCTTTTTTCTTGTCTTTTGCTCTCCTTTGGCGTATGTTTACTATAAAGCAAAAATAAGGAGAAATTAAATTAAAGTGTGTATTAGGGGCCTAGCGGGTAGAATGCCCCATTTAATTGGGAAGGCCAAGTCACTTTAATCAATTAGCAGGATGAATTTTAATGAGTGATCTGAAAAGAAAAACTTTGAACTATGAATAGAAACATTGGTATACGTATAAACCAGATAAGAAAAAAAATAGCGACGTTGTATAGATCCAGACTGTAAACTCAGTATTGTGCAGGGAATTGCTGTTCTGGTCAATAACTTTGACTGTAATGGTTTCAAGGTTAAAGGACTACATTAAGTGGCGTGGAGGTATTAAGAACGAGCTTTTGCTTACAACACCCGCAATTATAGTACGCTGAGCTGTAAGAACGTGCCGCGCTCATTAGCCTGTATTTGAATATCGATATTTTCTCGGTAATTTGCAACTGGTATTGTAAGCAAAAGACACCTTATCAGCATCATTAGCAGAACAATATTGCTGAAACGTTTCAATAAACGAATAAGCCCCAGGGATTTCCATAATCCAGCCTGGCTCGCAGGTGAATCCTTACCTCTGAATCAGAGTAATAGTTGTAAGTTAACTACGGTCTTTGTACAATCAGGAATACTCCCACTTACAGTAGAATTATGATCCCAGGTTTACTAAACTCTTTAACCTTTTAGGCTGACGAACATCCAGTTTTTCTATGAAGTAATACCTCTCAATCAGACTTAAAGATAGTGAGTTTTAAAGAGGAATGATTAACAAGTGAAAAAGGATTTGTTTGCAAAACAAATTCTTCTAAAAATGGGAAATGTGATGGGGACGATATGCATGCCGACTTTAAGAAAACAAACCAGATACATAACTTCTCATATTTCTTTAGTGTACAGGATATTACGTGTAAATTTAAAAGTGAGGAACACTTCAGGAGCTCTGCCTAAAACCACGACTCAAAAATTACGGTGAACTGCTGACTTATTGCAGTTTGATCTTTAAAATGAAAGACTTTTTGAACTGTTCCATATGTCAAGATACTGTAACAATTGGATTCTATTTATATAAGCCTTGCTTTGAGAATTTTGCAGTATTATAATCATGGCAATAATCTATAGTGTAAGTATGCTGCGCCTAGTATAAGACTGGATATAAGCGTTGTACGTGAGAAAACGTTTTTTGACCAGGTGAATAAAAGCCTTTTTTCAATGTAGGAAGAGTAAATATATCCATTGCCTGATTAAATAACATCTGTCGCAGTTTTACTGATAAAGTAAATATATGATATGATAACACTAATTAAGGCCGATGCATTTATCTGGTTGTTAAGGAAAAAGATATTACAAAGAATTCACCGGGTCACATAATTACTGGTTTTTGGGCTTAACCTCCTCCAATAAAGATAACATTCTAACTTATCTGGCCAAAAAAAGTACAAATGAAGGATTCCAGGGTGTCTATTGTCTGAATAGGGAAAAAAAAATAAAAATCAAATCTCCCTCTCGTTGTCGTTCTCGTCTCGAATCTAAAGGTCTCTATTGTGAAATGTCATGTGACCTCAAATAAACGCCAATGGCTTTGTTTCGCTTCTTTGATGAAAGAGCTGTTATTTCCACACTCTCACGAAACAGCTAGTAGGAGGGTCTGAATGGGGGGGTCCACTTGTCGGTTGTCGGTTAAAATTCAGTTACTTTGTCGGTAGTCGGTTAAAATTTTTGATCTTTGTCGGTAGTCGGTTAAACTTTTTGATTTTTGTCGGCTGTTGGAAAATCTCAGTTAATAAGTAAAAACGCTTGTTAATTATTAATATTTTTTATGTATTTCACCCAGTTTCAAGACTTTGATCCCTAAGGAGAGAGTAAAACTTGTAAGAATGCATCATTTGGTTGCACTTAAGCTTCATTAACTCTTGTTTGTTTATGCAACATGATCGTTTATACCACCATTGTTTGCCAAATGAGTATCATGAGTACTGATAAAATCACCAAACCTTTTATTGTAAATGCGAACTTGGTTTCCCTGTCGACTATAGGGCACAGTAAAAAGTAATTAATTAATTAATGGACTCCAGCCTTTTGGATACTTAAATTATTCTTACTTAAAAACTGCAAGGGGTGACAGGCTGCACATCCATACCTTTAATTTTTTGGGCTCTAACAAGCATTTCCTTTGCCATAATTTTCCTTTCTCAAAGAAATAACACTTTAACTCCCTTAGGTTTTTCTGGGATTTTCCCAAGAGGATAAAATGATAGGATCAAGGATAGCTTTTTCTCATTTTTCGTTGAATGTTGTGCCTTGGTATACAACCGGGTTTAAAAAAATTGTCTCAGTGTCAGATACTTCGGCCGTAAATTTCATAGCCAGTAGAGCAGTAGGGTGAAGTAAGTTTAATTGTTCCGTGAATTTGAAGAAATCTAACATGTCTGGTTTACTTATGTCCCATAGGGAAAAATATCATGTAGCGTTTTCAAACAGTGGGTTTAAAAACGGTTTTGCTTAAACTTTGTGTTTCAATATATTTGGCCATGAAAATGTTGGAAACGAAACTGCTGTATGTGCTTATCGCGGTACCGTGGTTTTTTGCTGATAGTGCTTTCCATTAAACTGGAAAGAATTTTCTTTGATGATTAATCTAAGCATTTCCCGTACCAAAACAAGAAACGTTCAGTATTTTCACCTTTGTCTTTTCAATAAAATTTATAAAGTCGGTAGCATCTTTAAGGTGTGTCTTCTGTGATTATGATATTGGTTGTAGTAATGTACCCGTATCAACAAAAGAGGAAGTTCTTTCTGTTAGACCATCTGATGAGTCATAAATTTAAAGAGGTTACTTCCTAACGGCTAGAAAAAAATGCAAAATTCTCTTTTTTCTGAAAACAAATATTGATATTGTCAGCCCATGTCGGTAGTCGGTTAATATTTTTCCTGTCGGTAGTCGGTAATTTTTCACTCGTTTTGTCGGTAGTCAGTGCTATTTTTCGCCCTTTGTCGCTAGTCGGTTAACCCCATTCACACCTTCTAGTGGGGAATATTTTTTGGAATGCAAACAAGAGAGTTATGCAAATTACGTCATCATTTTTGGCTTTTTTGTCTCATTTTATCGTCATCGAGAAATGCAAAGCAAAAAATTTAAAACTGGGCTCCGTTTTTGAAACCATGGGAAGAGCAAAATTGCCAAATAAGAAGGTATAATCTACCGTCATGGTAAATTAATTTACCCAGAAATGGTTCCATCTATGTGCGAATGCCCGAATTAGCCAGCTTTCAAAACGTCACTCAGTTTGAATGTGTCATCAGTCAAGATGGTCAATTTACCGAAGTAGGTGATTATAAACCAAATCACGTTTTATATCTCTCCTTCACAGCACGGAATTCTAGTAAAGGTATGATTTCTTTTACTTGCCAAACAAATGGAGAGCAAAAACATGAGAGCAAGCATTTTAACCTCAAAGAAGCTTGCGAGAGCATGTTTTTTATCCTGCTTATGCTACGTGATCGGCTTACGAGATCCCTGATATAATGGGACAGCTTACAAAGAACTCATCACTAAATCAGTAATGAAAGTAGTTCTAAATTGATGTCTCTGACTACCGTCTCACGTCTGATGTAGACACGTTTGATTTTAAAGTTCATGTATTTTTGATATGGCTCGGCGAAACTAGTCAAAAATTCTAGTGAGTGAAATGAGAAGAGATCCGCCAAAAAAAAAATTGCCTTCTCTTCTAAAGCCGATGCCATAAACTTGCAGTTGTATTTAATCGAGTCTGCTTAAAAAGACACTCAATCCTTGTTTGGAAGAAAGATTTAATGAGACTTGGGAAAATAAGGGAAAATGCCTTTTGCAGGTGGATTCAAGAGGCGAAAAGAGTAGAAAAAGCGATAAGGGGGAAATTAACTTTGCAGAAAGAACGAGATGTTGTAAACGCGAAATGAAAAGCATTAAAATGAGAAAACCGTCGCCAGAGCAGTAACTAAAGCACGGCTAGCACGACTTAGTGCGTGACGATAGTACGCGTAGTAGGACTTCGCGCGTGGGCGTAAATGATGCGATGTGTATGATGGTCTATTTTTTTTATAATATGCGTTTGTATAAAAGCATTAGGACAAAAATAACTAAAAAGGTGTGCAGGGAACTCGACATATCTCATAAATATTGTCCATTTCTCATCTCAACAAACTGGGACAATTCTATGCATTTTTTAAAATTTAATTTCTTCAAAAATTACCATGTCTTCATGTACTTGACTAAGAGAATTGAAACATGAAATTATTGATTTCCGAATTTACTGTTATTTTAGGCTGCAAAAATTACTAATAACCAAACACTAACTTACTCCTTAAACACCTTAAAATAAAATAATAATCTGTTAAAGTGAAATAAACCATTTTTCCCTTGCGTGTTTCAGCGCCAAATGGGAGTAAAAGAAAAGTAATAACTCTTTAAAGTAAGATTAATTATTTTTAGTTTAAACTTTTAAGCATATTGCAGCGTTGCCATGATACCACTAAGACGCCATAAAACTTTTATAATATAGGTATATCATTCATTTGTTTTACCTCAAGTCGTATACAGGCGTAATGAAATCTTTTTTAATTCTACAACGCTTTGTTAATTGTTTAACGCTCCTTTTAAGATCTCGCAGAGCAGATTACGGCTAAGCGCCGGGAAAGATCATAAACAAAACACTCTAGCCAATCACAGTGGTTGCAGGCGAACCAGTAAACAAAATGACAAACCGACTAAGGAAAGTTTCTAGAACATACACGAATTAAGGCAAGAAATGAGGGGCGTGAGAAAAATCGCAATCGATCTCTGGAAATTAGAACAAGACGATTATTAGCCAGTCACAAATCTCGAGACCAAAAACAGTTGCGAAATTATTGAAAATCGCTTTACAACTTTGATAGAAAACAGGAAATGCAAAATATTGAAATTTCCAAATCTCCCATCGTGTGAAAGACAGATTGCTTTGAACTGATATCTTATTATCCTGTTTCGTTTTCTGTACTCGTTTGCGGGGGTGTGCGAGACACCTATTGTTTAGAGAGACACCTAGTTTAGACAAGAGAGAATTCTTGAAAATTAAAGAAAAAACGGGTAAATTGAATATTAAAACGTTAATGGAAGGAATTGTACGCGTAGAAATATATAAACAACTGGAAGTAAAGGTACGGCATTAACAGTTACGCCCAGCATCACGTATAACAATTGCTACATAACAGGCTTTGCAGCGTCGAAAAGACGACCTTTTTCACTAATTTTACACCTGTGTACCAGTTTGTTTTCTTAAGTTAAACATTTTTGCATCTAATATGCTTTGGCGTTTGATTATGTTGGCCGAAATCCTTTCGCTGGTGTTATCACTACTGCGGGCCTCGCCAAGTAAGCCTCGTTTTTTCTTGCAGCATAGACAATGTTGTATCATGTTTGTAAAGATTAAGCGAAAAGCAACCTGAAAATACTCGTTGAAAAATGAATAAATAATGGGGTTAACAGCACTGTTAGCGTACATAAGTAAAATTGAAATAAAGGTGTATGTATTGTTGCAGATGATTTTCGACCAAGAGCACAAGATCCAGCCCATCCAATACGGCAGAAAACAGCAATAAAATGCTAACAGAACCATGGCCACCATTTTCAGAACTCGATTGTTCAATCGTGTGCAATTGCGGCTTTTTAACGAGGGACGTTCACCGGGTGTCTTACTTCTACAAAGCTGGATAGCTATTGCGCTGTATAATATGACCACTAGAAGCAAACTTGTCAAAAGCAGGGACAGGAAAATCAGATACCAAACGCGCCAATTTTGGAAAAAGTATCGCGTTTTGCAAAAGAGTTTTCCGTCGCTCTCCAGTAGGTTGGCATAGTAAAACAAGGGCACACAGTAACCAGCTGATGCAAACCAAGTGATAACAATCATTCGAAGAGCTCTTTTGCTTGTAATAAGTTTTCTGCGAGGATAAAACACCACAAGAAAACGATCTGTAGCAATCATCACAAGATGAAGAATGGTTACGTTTACGCAAAGTTTCTCAACGAAGTTCGTCGTTCGGCAGAAAAATATTCCCGCGTTTCCTCCAATAATCCACTGGTCATTGACCAATATTCTCGTGATCCTTTCAGGGATGCTCCCTAATGTCATCAATAAGTCTGCGGCAGCCATACTGACAATAAACATGTTGTTGACAGTGCGTAGTTTTCCACTGGTGTTAAGTTTGAACGCAGCGATAATCAGTGAATTACCGATCACAGAAAAGAACACAATTACGCCATAAGCCAGGGTTTTGAAAGCTTTCTCCATAGCACCGGTGTCTGTAGCACTTGGGGAAGTTGCGTTTTCTTCACGGGAAATATTACCAATTACTTCCGCCATTTCAGTTTTGCCGGTTAAAACTCTTCCTCAGCCTTCTTGAAATGATTTTACCTCTTGACGGAAACAAAATTTGATTGTAATTCCAATTTCAAACATCGCCTTGAGGAACTTTGTGAAACTAAAGAGTGTTCGTCCTTTAGCCGACTTATTTAAATCATTAATGACGCATGTATATCTGATGTGCGTAATTTCAGTTTCTGTTAATTACTATGAATAAGGAATTCTTGTGTCTTTTATTGGGTCACTCGTCATAAATTAGGATTCACTGGCAAACAGTATAAATATTAAACTCAAAATAATTGACCAATAAAACAAAAGGAAACAATAAAATGTCCATGAAATTCAAAATTGCTTTGTAAACATAAAGCACTTTCCCCTCTAATGTCATCTTAGGAATAATCATATAAGAAAGTATTTTTTTCTATTATTGGTGCGAAATATTTTATTTTTTCTTACTAGTAAAATTCGATTGTAGCCTTAGCGCAAAAGACCTTTTACATTCAAACAATGTTTAAAATCATCTAACTGATGGCGAACATGTACAGGACCTATTTCTATTTTTAAACATGTTGAAGGGAACTCACTGTGTTTGTGCATGTAGATCAAACCAACATCTAATTAATTGACAATTCGAGTTCTTTTCTTCTCGAGCGGTCGATCTATCGGTATAAGGAAGTCTCTTCAAAAAGATCCTTTTATTGATTAGTGATATAGATTTCGCTCACCCTTAAATTCTTCCATGGACATCTTTTATGAAATTATATAAGGGAAGTTCTATATTTTTTGTCCGAACCTTACAACCTTATAAAGTGTTCGTTTGTATTCCAGACGGTCCGAAAAACAGGTGGAGGAAAGGGAATTTTATAAAGCTTCAATTTATTTTCTCTAGAAATGACGTGGCCATCAGCAGTCCGATCCCCCTTATCTTTCGATTGTCTTAACCAGTACGATAGTTCAGTATAATAGCCTCATCTCTCCTCGCCTTATCAGGAAAAAAACGTGACAAGCTTGAGGCACTTTCTATTAGACCGATGGTTTCCTCACTGTTAAAGTACACGTGCATCCATTAGCTGAAATGCCCAAATCTAAAAATAATTACAGTATGTCAAACAGATACTTGATACTAAGATACGATCGATCCTCACTACGTGCCTATAAATTGCCTTGGCAAAAATAGAACCGAAGTTGGAAGAAGATTAAAACTATTATACAATCTTTAGTCAAAATACCATAAACCACGTTTGGAAGTGAACATGATCTTCGCAGTAGAATGAAAAACCTATGTAATTCAAAAACAACCAGAAAAAATTCACGTCTATTGAGAAAACCGAAGTAATACAATATCAGCTTTTGACTAAATTTTCTGAGGAAATCAATCAAAAGCCAAGGTGGTTGAGTAACACCTACAGGCCCCCAATATAACAGTATAAAGTTCCGTTGTTCAGCTCTAAATTTTTACAAAACGTCAGGAGGCCATAGATTAGCTTGTTAACAATACTGGCCAAATTTTTATGGTACAAGTCGTGAACAAGTGTCATCCTCCCATGCAACAAAAACAGTGTCAATTTCCGGCGCTCAGCTCTAAATTGTAACAAAATGTTTTGAGGCAACACTGGCCATATCTTTCTCTTGTTATGGTTTAAGTCGTGAATAAGTGTCCTCCCCCCCAAAAAAAAGTGTTTAGGCATCATAAAATTTCGACATTCACAAAGGTGCCTTTAATTCCAAGCAACATATTGCTAAGAGAGACGAGAAGAAATTGTAGTGTGTAGAACCTTAACAGGATGTGTGTTACCAAATTACAATTTTTTTTTTGTAATTTGCTTACCCACGAAACAGTATGATTAGTAGCCCAACACAGCGTTGCAACATTGTTGCGACATTGTATCGGATGGTTACAACATTATTCCAACATTTGCAGCGCTGTGTTGCGAATCGTACAGTGACGAGTCTCCACAAACTAGCACTCTTTGTGATCGTAATGGTTACAGCCTTGTTGATCGACGTATCCAGAACTTGTTAATTGTTGTATTTAAGACAATTAACAATTATCCCCCTGAATATCTGTGAGACCTATATTTAGATTAACAGACAACATCAAAAACCTGAGATGGGTTAACAAGCTGCAAGTACCGAAACCTAATACGGCTCGTTATGGCAAGAACTCAGTAAAGTACTTGGCGACTATCACTTGGAACAAGATTTCTGATACCTTAAGATCCCTAAGAACTTTGTTAGCTTTCGAAAAAGCAGTCCGACAGCTAAGGTTTTAGCTAATTCTATATAATATCTATGTTCTATTATAATAAGTAATTGGGCTTAAATAGCTATGTCACGTAATGTTTAGGCTTTATACTGTAAATAAGTTTTTGGATTTCCCTTTCTTTCTCTATTATTTTATTTCTTTGTTTTGTTTTCTTTGCTTTTTTTCCCCTCGGCTTATTAGCATAAATTTGTTAGAGGTCTAACCAACCTCATCAAACCCGAGATTAAATAAAGCTTCATTCATTCATTTACTCGTCACATCACCTTAAGACCTGGTTTACAGCCGCCGGTTAGATTCATATTCAGGTTATTTATAGATTAATTGTCAAAAGAACCTTCGTCAAATTACCATGCGGGCAGAAGTAACTTTTACTGGTTTGCCTCTCTCCTCCACCTTAAAAGTAGACACAAAGAGACTTCTGCGGAGGAGAGAGCTGACGTGCGAAAAGTATAGGGACGTTACCATCCGACGATGCGACGGCAACGAGAACGTCAAGTAGGCAAAACAACAACTTTGCACGTGCAGCTCACTTTTGTGTACATTTCTTTGCCGTTTTTGCACGACGAAAGGTGATGTTACACGGTACGATTCGCAACGACGATTTTTAACGCAACACAGCGTTGCAATGTTGGAACAATGTTGTTACCCTTCGAAACAATGTCGCAACAATGTTGCAACGCTGGGTTGCACTAAAAATCGTCGTTGCGAATCGTCCCGTGTAACATCACCTTAAGACGTGAAATTGCCTGATTTTACTTTTTAGGGAAGACGTAAACAAGCGACGCCGAAATTTGAGTCTCTTTCTAAATTTGAATATGGTTCTTAGAATTTCAACTACGGGAGGGTTCGCCTACATTTGACAAAGCAAGTGAGTTGGAATAATCGTGATAAAGACCGAAAGAGCGCAATTTCATTTTTGAAGCGACATTTTCACTGCCGTCGCGTCGGCCGATTGTAAAGTCCCTAGTATCTTTTGCCGAGAAACGTGGCATTTTCATTGCCCATGCTATTTGGGACCTTACAATCCGACAAAGGCGACCTCCATGAAAACGTCCCGGGAAAAAAATTAGACTTCGCGTCCTTTGACTTTTTTGCGATTATCTTAAGTCGCACAGTTGCTTAAGAGAAGGGAAGCTACAATAGGTTAGAGCTGAGGAGAATTAAGGGACCTCGCCCGAGTTCAGACAGGGATGGTAGAATTTATCGCCTTACCGTTCCCGTTCTCAAGTAAACTTAAAATTTGGTCATTTTACGTGGTAGTTGTGCAGGGACGGTAAAGACAATTTCTAAAAAGCGTGATGCACGTGCAGAGTTGTCTTTTTGCTAATTAGACCTACTGCTTTTCGTCCTTCCTATCGCCGTCGCCGTCGCCGTCGCCGTCGCCGTCGCCGTCGCCGTCGCCGTCGCCTTTGAAGTTTCGTAAGGTCCTTTAAGATAACGACGGCGACGGTTACGAAAACGTCACTAAAAAGTGAAGTCGCGCTGCTTTAAACCGTATCTCGCTTTTTCCATCTCGTTCAATTGGTCAAATCTTGGCAATTTTTTCTGGAAGTTGATTGAATTCTAAAAGACTGTATCGAAGTCCAGGAAAAGAAAAAGAAAGTCGTTGTCTCGAGTTCACGTCCTCCATAAAAGGCAAAGGAATGTACAATATAAAAAAGAGTGATGCACGTGCAGAGTTGTTGTTTTGCCAATCTAAGACCCTGTTTACATGAAGGTGGGAGACCCCTAGTAGGTGAGGTAACATGGGACGGGTTGCCCCACCTAAAATGTAAACGTGATCACATTAAAATGAGAGATTATATGGACAGGCGGGTTACCCCACCTCCATGTAAACAGGCCCTAAACCACACTTTTATTAAAAGACACCCTGTTCAGCACGCTAAATTGTGAAATTGTGTACTCTGTTTAAGATTCAAAATACTGAAAACCACACCCTGTTCAGCGGCGCGTACCCTTCTAGGCCAAATGAGGAATCGCCCCCACCCCCTGGGACATGGAGTTAACCCTAACACGATTCGCAGTTAAGAAATGTTAGTATTCGGCTAACTTTAGCTTTCTGCCCCTCAGACACAATTTGAATCAGATTGGGTGGGTGTCCAAGGCACCAATTTCAGCAGCAATTGTCTTTTCAGTTTTTTACAATTTTGGGAAAAATAGCCTTAAGTGTTGAAGGAAGCAGACTTCCCGTCGCCATTTTTAAAATCAATTTTGTATGCGAAGCATTATGGCTAAAGGTAATGGCAACTCGTTATTTATTCTCGCTTAATTATCTTCCATTGAATAAAATATAATGATATCAACAAGTATAGACAAATTTCCTGGTTTTTTTTTTCACCACATTGAAAATGCGTGGTCATATTTTCCTCAAAAAAATCGTGAAAACTTCGAATTTCTGCCCAATCATTGCCATGAATTTTTTCATTTTTCATTTTTTTTATTGATTTTCCAGAGGCTTTTAAAAGAATCTCCTTAACAAGGAAAAATAGTAGGATACATAAAACCATAAGTTTTTTATTAGTTGTCAATTCTTACCTCTAGTTTAACAAGTCTTGTCTTGACCAACTCTCATATATTAATGCAAACATCGAAACCAAAAAACAAACCCGAAAACCACAGATTTCCATACATCCGACGTTTTGCCAGCTGTTTTGAAAATATGGAAGATGTTATGCAAACTGAAAGACAAACTTAATTTTTAAGCAAAATTTCAAAGACGGTGTTGCCACACGAAATCTCTAAACTCGCGGATGCAAGCTGGATTTTAACACACAGTCTTACAGTGATAAAAATGTAGAAGTTGTCAAGAAGTGTCCAATTTTCACTTGTGCATACCACAGCGTTTAACAGACGCGATGAGAAAGTTAATTACAAAGACGATTGCGCGGGTTTCAGGAGGATTGTCAGTGAATTTATGAGCTAACCGATAAAGGCAGCTGAGTTCTTTGTAGGTATTGCTTTCGGGTGTGTGAATCATAATCATAATGATAAAACAAAGGCAAAGTCGTACATCTATCATAAAGTATGTAAAAAAATCACCAAATGATGATATTTTCTCAGAAATGAATTAATTGGCCTCCTCAAACTGACGCAGCTAAAGAACATTCTAGGGCTTATTCGCAAAAACAAAAACGATTGTCAGAAGGCGACCCGTGTCAAAAAATAATAAGAAGGCTAAGTTTTGAATAAAAGGAAGATATAACTACCCCTCTAAACTTTTTTTTGTCTTGTTTAGGCCATAACCTTTTTTTCACCGTTAAGCGTCGTCCGACCGACCTAATCTGAAAATGAACACTGTAGCAGCATTTCGTAGCACAGAAGTTTCGGCAGTGTATCCTATTTGCCATGTTCGGTTTTACTTTTACTATGACATCAACCAGCACATTTTCCGCCATATTGACTTTTGTCTTGTTGTTTCCCGCCTCCACGGCAACGATGCTGGGGTTTCAGGCCTTCTAAAAAACTTCTTTTGATTTTTGTTGTTACTTTTTTTCATCCGACATACCGACACAAAATCAGCAGGAAACGCATTCGACGCTAAACAAACAACCAAACAAACAATTGTCAAAAAAAGGGGGATGGCCTTACTCTCCCCTAAACAACANTCAGGCCTTCTAAAAAACTTCTTTTGATTTTTGTTGTTACTTTTTTTCATCCGACATACCGACACAAAATCAGCAGGAAACGCATTCGACGCTAAACAAACAACCAAACAAACAATTGTCAAAAAAAGGGGGATGGCCTTACTCTCCCCTAAACAACACATATCATCTTCCACGTTGCAAGTGACCTCGAGCCCGCGTAGTCCCTGTGCGGCGTCTTCACAGGCCTTCTCGGTCAAAAGATTCGGTGACATAGCCGAGACAAACGGGAAAACTCGCTCGGCCCGCGTGACTCGAAACTCATAGGCCGTGCGGAATAATGAGGCCTAGGGACTTGGCAAGCCTCGCGCCTCGTGTAAGACAGCTAGTACGGTTGGATTCATTAAACTTGCTTAATTAAAAATAGTAATAATAATGAATTAATAAATAACGATTTAGAGGTGGCATATCCACATAGTCGGTGTTGTTCTTTGCCTACCTGATTGCTGGTCGAATTGGAATTTGGATCTATTGCTTGTTAAGAAGAGAAGAAAACCGGAGTACCCGGAGAAAAACCTCTTGGAGCAAAGGAAAGAACCAACAACAAACTCAACCCATATTACCCAGGCCACACTAGTGGGAGGCGAGTGCTCTCAACTCTGCCCCACCCTTGCTCAGCTGCTTGCTCCTCAATGGGTTACTGAAGTGAGATTGTTCGTAGACTATGAATCTCTACATACTTTGTAAATACTCCTTTCATTAAATATTTCTCTCTTATTTATCGAAATTGCCTGGATTTCTTCCGTAGATTCTCAAGTTTATAATTGTTATTTTTGTTACGATTCTCTAATAAACATTTAAATGGCTTCCTTGCTTTCTGTCACTTTGACATTAGAAGATTTATTTTTACGGCCTCTTGGAATAATCTTGGATAAGCCGTTTGCTGGCAAATGCCATAAAATCTTACATCATTTGCAATTCTTGCAAGTTTTGATCTTCTAATCTGCAAAATGCCGCCGATATCATGTACCAAGTGCAGTATTGTTCTGAAAGTTGCCAGTTAAGTTCAAAATTGTTTTTTAAAAGGCATTGTCTTTGCTTTTCACAAAACAAAATCAAAATCATTTTCCCTAGGGGATTTGTAAATTGCAGTGTAGGTTTAATGCTTGCTTGTTATCGTCTTGTTCAATAAAATAAAAACTGTTTCAAGTTCTTCGGTCAACCAAGTTTCGACAAGTGAAGTCGAAATACAGCAAGATACAGTGGAACCTCGATTAACGACGGGCCGAGGAGGGACCGGCAAAATTTGTTCGTTATACCGAGGATTCCGTCCCTGATAGAGGTTGGTTATATCGAGGTTCCACTGTACCTTGCTACTTGGGGCCTGTTTTGGATTCCGGTGAACGTAGCTCGGTTTGCAGTTCCAAATTGAAAATTAAGAAAAAAAATATGAAAATTACGGTAAACAGAGAACTAATTGCTACCTTAGACTGGTATATGTTTTATTTTATTACATGAAATTGAGATTCTGAATGCCTTTGCAATGCAGGAAAATGAAAACAAAAGCACGTATCGTACCCTTGAATGGCAAGTTTGATATAGGGGGAAATAATAGATATTTTTAGGTTGCTCTCTCTTACAAAGGGATGGAGGATCTACCGGATAACTGATAAGTGGACCGCACGCGCGGTCATTAATTGCTGCTTAAATCATCCCAAGAGGAGAATTATAACAACATCTATATAAAGAATCGTGTTTTTTTAATGATCTCTGCCGGTAAATAAACTGTGCACCGGAAAAGATGGGGACATTTAATTTAAAAACGTATTCAAGGAGGCTTTTGAACTCATTTTCCTATATTGTTCTTTATTTATACCGCCACTTCTTTGCACGTAGGCAGGAAACAGTTTGTCATGTTCCTCCCATTTTTGATGATTTAACATCGGCGATCATAGTATTTCCTGATTATTTTGAATTGAAACTCGTCCAGAATTTTCTCTACTGTTAGTTCTTGAAAGAAATTGACCCTTTTCTACAGTTTATGACTGCTTAGCATTTCTAATTATTTTTTTAAGTCTGTTAAGTTGCTGAGTTAGCGTGGCAGCTGCTTAAAATTGATTTATCAAGCAAGAATAACCAAGGGAGAATATACGCCAGTTTAAAAATGATTTATGCCTTATAGTTTATTAAAATGATTTTTTGCCGTTAGGGCGGTCGACTTACTTTTATTTTGTGAACTACTCAGCTACAGGGAGTCAAGGATACGCAATCCTAAAGGAAATTTACGGGTTTTTTTTGGCGTGAGAGAATAAGTCATTATAAAACTGTTAAAGCGACACCACGATCAGAAATGAACCCTTTTCTAATTAAATGTGGGTGTATTTTTATTTTTTCACTTTCAAACTAAAACCTGAAAGTCACGTTTATAGTCCTCCTATTAATATACACTGTTTTTGTGATCTAGAAAGTTTGATGAAGGACTAGAGATTCAAGCAAAATTAGAGCTTTCAGAAAGTAGTCACCCGTGGTGTTGTATTGTCCTTAAAAATCCCTGTGAAAAAACACATTTATGCATTTCATTTTTGAGTGGAGTAACACCTTGCAAGTCAAAACCTAAGATTGCGAAAGCTTACGTCGACTATCAACTATGGCCTTTTCTGTGACGAAACAAACAACGGATGCGAAGAAGACTAACTAATACGAGTCATACACATAAATTCTATTAACAGACCTTCTGATATAACAACCTGGTTCGACACCTAGAAAAATACAAGACAAGACCATTGACGACGTATTCTACGTAATCTTAGTGATATTTTAACCGAAGATTTTTTATAGCAAAGTGTCTTTCGATCAAACTCAGAACTGATCAAGGTATTGGATTTCAGTAGGAGTCTTAGTGAGAAGGATATCTCGGGCTGCAGCCTACACAAGGGACTATTAATAATGACCCTTTTTTGCAGAGACGTGATTTTGCACCACAGAACAAACGGGAGGATGTAAATTGTTGATTGTTAGCGAAGAACCTTAAAAGCAAGACCACAGTCGTAAAAGGCACGTTTAGAATGGCGAGCCATTGAGAAATTTGGTCCACATCTTCCTGATTTAATGCAAACGAAAATCGATTTGTAACTGAATATGATTCTAAAGCTCTGTTTAACTTAACTTTGGATTATGGAGAATGTAACCAAAGTCTCCGATCCAGTGCATACAAGCAAAACGTCAGCCGATTCCAGCGAGGATTTACAAGTCTCGATGGCACAGATTGCCAAAGCTGTTGCATACGCAGCGATAATGGTATTGTCTATCTGTGGAAACGCACTCGTTCTCATGGTGGTGAAAAAGAACATAGGAGGCCAGATGCGATCTGTACGGAACTATCTTCTCACCAGCATGGCTGCTACAGATTTGTTAATTACGATCGGCAGTATGCCCGAAAGACTTACAAGGGTTTTGACGAACGACGAATGGCTTATTGACGGTGCTATGGGAACCGCACTGTGTAAAGTAACAAACTTTTTTGAAAAACTCGCTCTCAGCGTTTCTATTGTCAATCTAGCTCTTGTTGCGGTTGATCGATTTTTGGCGGTAATGTTCCCTCATAAAAAGTATTTCACAAGGCGCAAGGCGTTTACAGCCATTGCTTCGGTATGGTTTACCTCCGCGCTATACTGTTCGCCAGTACTATACTATGGCGGGTTGCTGAAGAAACGAGGAAAAACTCTTTGTAAAGTTCGACAATTTTTTCCAAATTGGAAGGCGTGGTATTTACTATACCTGGCAGAGCTTTTTCTGACCCTTCTCCTAGTTTTATCACTTTACACCTCCATTCTTTGCAAGCTTTGGCGACGGCAACCTCCGAACAGGATTGGAATGGCGAGGGAAGATTCCTTGAGGGACAGTTGTATCACAGCGAATCGCCCTGATCGCGATGCAAAAATCAACCGAAGAGTTATCAAAATGGTGGCAGCGATATTGATCGCGTTTTATTTCTGTTTTCTCCCGTACTGGATAGGCTGGGTGTTCTGTTCTTACTGTTATTCAAAGCTTATTTGCAATGAAACCTACATCTTTATTTCTATTTTTCTTTGTTACGCAAATAGCAGCTTAAACCCGGTTATTTACTGCGCGTTCAGCGAGAATTTTCGCCTTGCTTTTAAAGTGGTCGTCCAACAGACATGCCCCTGTTTTACCAACTCTAGTTCAAGGCGAAGAAGAGTGACACCTCTAATATCGGCAGTTGTGTTCAACAGGTTGTCACTTAACTCCCTTGAAAGAAATCAAGGTGACATTAGACTGAGAGAAAGTATTAAGGAAGAGAATGAGATTGGAAGTGGTAACAGAAAAGCTCTGACAACAGAATTGTAAGACCAAATCATATCCATAACTACATTCTCTAGCCTAAGTACGGATCATCTTTGTGTACGTTCAGTTCAAAGTCGAAAGAAAGTACAGCTTACAATAATGATAATAGTAATAATAATAATAATACTAATAATAATACTAATAATAATAATAATAATAATAACCTATTTATAGTTCATTTCAATTAAAAACTAGTACAACGTATTCTAACTAAAAAAGGAAATAACACAGCGCCCTTAGTGAATATTGGCGAGCCCTTTTTGAATACCCTGTATCTGGGTCAGTGTCCGAAAGTGGCCTTAAGCTACGTTACGGTAAAACGAGCAACCAAAACTTGCGACTTGTTCTGCAACATTGCTGCAAATTGAGTTGATTCGCAACTTGTTTTGTAACATTGCTGCGAAATGATTTGAAAAGTTTTACTACCTACGAATCAAACCTGTCTTCACCGCAACATGTCAGGTTGTTGCAGGTCCGGGTTGCGAAAATTTGTTGCAGAAAGTAAAGAGTAGTTCTACTTGTTACAACATTTTTTCGCAACCTGTAACAACCGTGCCTAATTTGTTGGAAGACAGGTGGTAAGACCAGCTACATTACTTTTCTGTACTAATAATGGCGTAGAAAAGTGGAAATTCGTGATTTCCAAGACTGGGTGCATTGCTTGGACCTCCCAACCCCCCCCCCCCCCCAAAAAAGGGGGGGAAAAAAAATGGGTTGCCCCTTTTAAAAAAACCTTTTTTTATTTGTGAGCGCAAATCCCCGCGCGCAGGGGGGCCAGAAGAGGGGAAGGGCGCGGGGAGGGGAAAGGGGGGAAATTCGGGGGGGCGCGGAACCTTAAAAAAAAAAAAACAGACAAACGCAGAGACACGACGGAGGCGACCACGAGACATGTCTTATTAGATAAGACATGCTCGTATAAATGGTACAGTTCGCGTCTTATTTAAGACGCGTCTTATGTAAGACGCGTCTTATTTTTCCTCGTATAAATGGCCCTATTGTTATCGTTGATTAATGCCAGATCACATCTTCATGGATCCATTTTGAACAGATAGGTCCCCAAATCCATATAGTTTATTTTGATATATTTTAGTTCCTCAAGAACTGAGGAATACTGTCAATGTAGTGATAAATATATATTATCCATAAAATAACCATTAAAAATGATTCAAAAATGTGCAAAATTTGCCGGTGCAGATACCTTAAGATCGCACGATCGACGCCGTATAAAAATCGGCATTTCTAAAACAGATACCCGCTAGCCATCTAACATGATCGAAATACATCCTTTGTCAAAGGTTTTTAACGGGGTGGTTAAACTCAAGTAGTGCAGTCCGACGATCGAAAGCCAATTCCTATCAAGTTTGACAACTAGCCATGCTATGACGGGAAATAAACCTGTCAAAAAGAGTACTGCATGTTCAGATTATTGTTTTGCAGAGAAAAGGCAGGACGAAAGTTTTCCAAGTACGGGCGAAAGAGACCCTGGGTACCGACTCTCATCAAACTCTTTCCAAAAATTCAAGCGGAAGCCGGCTCCTGATTGGGGACCAAAAATGCTTTGTATTATTGTGCCCAATCAGCGAACAGTTTCTCCTGAGTTCTTTTCGTGACTTCGTACACGACGGCTATTGTCTTGCCACACTTGCCCGGTTCGTTCACCAAGCTTGTGCGTGCAAGGGAAACTTTTATTTTCTACTTTCCTAACCAGAAACGAAGGAACTACCGATGAGTCGAAAAAACGTTGGGGATGCTATCAGCAAGAGCAATTCAATTTGCCCCGAGAATATTCTGTTTTTGACTCATTAAAATATATCGTAAATAATAAAAGTCAAATAAGCAATAGCTTGACAAGGCAAAAAACTTTGCACGTGCATCACACTTTTTTGTACATTTCTTTGCCGTCAACTGCACGACTACCCTTGAAAATGCCTAATCAGTCATGTTTTGTGAAGGACGTAAACAAGCAATGACAAAATTCATTCTCTTCATGAACTTGGACATAGTTGATAGAAATTCAGCTCCAGAAGAGTTCGCTTGCATTTGACAAAGTAAGCGAATTGGAATAATCACGATAGAGACTGAAAAAATGTGAATTCCTTTTTCCATGGGACTTTTTCGTGGTTGTCAGTCGTCGCGGTCAGTGTCGTGGTATCTTTTAAAAACTCCCTAATATTTACACAAGACGTGACAGATGCAAGCGTGAAAACCTGTTTTAAGCTCAAGCTTGTATTTTTGGAAAAGCGTCTTTAGTTTTCGGGCAGATAGTATTTTGAAATGAGATGGGGATTTTATATCAAACTGAACGTTTCCTAGTCTGCTACACAGCCGTCTTTAGTGTCGTCACGCAACGCTCCTCCCCACTAGTGGGGAGGAGCATTGCGTGACGACACTAAAAACGGCTGTGTAGCAGACTAAACGTTTCCTGACTGCGTGCATGTCTTTGGTGCATGAGCCAGACAAGCCGTGATCGAGACAATAGCCGTCGTGTACGAACTCACGAAAAGAACTCAGGAGAAACTGTTCGCCGATATATTGGGCACAATAATACAACGCATTTTTTGTGCCCACTTAGGACCCGGAATCCGCTTGAATTTTTGGAAATAGCTCGGTGAGAGTCGGTACCCAGGGGCTCTTTTGCTCGTACTTGAAAACCTTCGTTCCGCCCTTTCTCCCAACCCGACTGACTTCCCCTGGGACTCCGAGGATGTCCCAAGTAAAATTGCTGAAAACAATGCTCGTACATAAAAATATTCAAAAGGAAATTAAAACTTTTTCTCTTATCCCATGTGGTTATAGTAGAGTAAATAAGTACTCAAATATATTCATAGTGAAATATTTTTAATAAATGTATTATATGATTATTGTAATTATTGATCTCTCTATTAATTACCTATTTCACCCACTCAATTTCAGTAATTCAAGTAGATCTTTCAACCCTTTCTAGTATCCCATGTAGTGATAGTACTGTAAATAAGTACTCAGTACAGAGTGAAATATTTGTAATATATGTGTAAGATTATTATTGTATCTCTGTCCGTGAATTATCTATTTCACTGATACCATTTCAATGAATTTCAATAGATCTTTCGTTACCTTCAGGGAGACTACTTGTAAAAGCCCGTAAGGGTTTCTTTAGTCTTCCTCCCAAAGTTATTACATTGTAAACACACCGTATGTACTGTACTAAGAAAGTAAGCGCGCTCTGATTGGCTGAGAGGAGCATTTGCATAAGAGTATGTAAACATGGTTGTGGCGTCAAGTTGTTTGCGTTTTCGCGCGCTAATCACGCAAGCACGAATTTGAAAAAGTTTTCAAGTTCAGAACTCGACAAGTTCACTTTATTTACCCATTCCTTCGTCGGCTGAAACTTGGAAAATCGTTACAAAGAAAGTGTGTCAATTTTTTTTCACTTAAGCTGACATTTTGGAAAGCATCTTTTTGCAAAACAAGAACTGATTACGCGTGCAAGACTTCGTGGACAAGACTTTGCAACTGGTAAGAATTTCTCTTTTAATCAGTGCCGTACAAAGAGTTCTGCGTTTTTTCTCGGGAAATTTATTTTATAAAAGCATTAGAAAACTTTTTTTGCTGTGTTTGCATAGCCTGATATAAACACTCGAGGCGTTGGGAGAATTCTCGACAGCTATGCAAACCCTCGACTTCGTCTCGGGTTTGCATAACTGTCTCGAATTCTCCCAACCCCTCTCGTGTTTATATCAGGCTCAACCTCGTCCCCAGGGAAAAAGGGAAAAGCCCTGGGGACCAGGTTGATATCAGGCTATGCAAATGACAAATAATAAACTCAACTCAACTCAACAAAATTTGGGGGTGGGCGGAGGGGGGGGGGGACAAATTTCCGTCGCACGGCTCAATGACGCGGTTACCAAGTTTCTTTCGAGTTATAAACATGGCGGCGGAACCGTTGTGGAAAAGTGGATCTGTACCCTGCTGATAATGAACTTTATAAATACCAAATGGCAGCTGCGATTGATTCAAATGGAAGTTTAAAACGCGAACAACAAGAGCAAGATATTTTGCAAGGTTCTGAGCCAGGAGCTGGGTAAAGTTCTGAATATCAATCATAATACTTTTTAAGTGATTTATCTGACGTTCGTCATAATTATAACTTAAGTTTTTTTGAAGTGGACACTAGTTTAAGGCCCGATTTTGCCTTGCCTACCAACTTTCACAGATACAGTATGTTCGTTTTGCTTCTCATGAGCAAACAATGAACGCCAATTACAATATAGGGGAACAGCTGAATTTGAGTCGTAAAATGTGCGCAGAATAATAATTAGGCTTATAAGTTTCATAAATTCATAAGGCTGTGCAAAAATTTGCCTTACTTAATTATGGGTTTTAATACGCAAACAGTAAATTTATAGTTTTATAGCCAAACAGCAAGTTATGATTTTGTCAAAGAAATACCTTTTATTATAACAAAATTCGTAATACTGAAGTTATTTCGGTTTAAAGTAGCATAATTATTTATATTAAATAATCATTGGGTTTAACTGCAGAATACCTTGCTACATTGACATAGCTAGCTATGCTAGCCGTCGTTGTTGCTTAAGCTCCCTATTCTCCAACTAAATCATTAATCAAGACAAGCAAGAACTGTGGCCCCGGGCAGGCAAAATGCGAGAACTGCTTGTGTAAAGGACCATCTTGAATTCAAGCTTTTTTTTTTGAGCCCTACACCTGCTTGTATGGTTTAGCTATTAAAGACAAAATATATTCTCAGGTTAAACCAGAATTTCTTTTGTCTCCCATGCAACTTGCCCTATGATGTTTCTCAATTAAGTGGATACTACACATAATACAACACAGACTAAAATGTAACTAGTTAAAACACACACACACACACATGCATGAAAATAATTTATTTATAAAGTATTGGTAGATGAAGTAACTAGGTCAATCTAGCAATTAATACTGTGAAAGGCAATTATTGAAGAGAAAATTCGTGATTCTCCCACATGTTATTTAATATATTAGGGTCA